CAGAAACTCTGTCAAGCAGGAAATGAATGGGATCATCCACCCATCATTCAGTACAAAACTCTTGATACTCAATATTTTGTAAAAGATTAAGAGTAGACTCCAGCTAAACTCAGTCCACAAACCCCTCCTTCTAACCCCTCACTTCTGTACATTTTTGTTGGGAGCAGTGAGACCCCAGAGCCTGAATTTCTTGTAAACAACTTGTTTCCCCTGATCTGAGTGCCTACAGCTGCTCTGAGCACGAGACCTTCAGGAGTTCCTGATGGCAGGAGAGTGGTTTCTGGTGGGTTTGGCTGGGGCATGGCTATCTCTATATAATCTGCCCTTGAACACAATAAAGGGAGCATTCTTGGGGCTTTGGTATCAGTGTTCAAAGGTCTGCGTGTGTCAGTCTGTCTCTGCGTGTGTATTCTCAACCTCCAGCCCCATGCCCGAAGCTCGGTAACTGGGTTCTAGCGCACAGAGTGCAGACACGGGGGCACGGAGTGCGGAACATTTGTCCAAAAATGCCTCTTTTTGTCATTGACTTCTAGTAGTTCTTTTACTTCCCTCCCAGTGTGGGATCAGCTCACATAAACCACACACAAAACAGAGACCTTCATTCAGGTAATGTGTGGAACAATTAAAACCAAACCACAAAATCAACAGTATCTTCAAAATCCTTCAAGTTCCAGAGAGAAGCTCTCAGAACTGAAATAGGTTACAAAAGAGATTGGGACACCAAAAACCAGAGGAGTGTTAGTTTGAGGCCAGCTTGAAAAGCTGGACAGGAAGGCATAAAGATTATGAGTACATGGAAGGGCAAGCAGCCCCTCATCCCAGAGGAACGCCTCTTACCAGCTAAAAAGCTGGAATTTCAGCCCAGGTGTCCTGTGCTGTAAAGGCTGATGAAACTGTGTTTGCAGACATTTCATGTGACCCAGGCTTAAGACCTGAGTGTATGTGACCTTGATCAGGACCTCACGCCTTTCCTCAGACATAGCCTAACTTTATGGTGAAGGTTTCCTACCTTCTTATAGCCCTGTGGGATGGATGGTCATTTTCTTGATTGTAATCTTATGAGGTGTCCTCAGTAACCACTCTGTAAAGGCAGTAACTTCAAAATCCAGCAAAGTCTATATGGGATTATTGTCTGCTATATGACAGGCACACTCCTCCTTTACAGGAGCTGGTCGGCATTTCTTCTATATGCATTTTTTGTTTGCACTTTGGAGAACAATAAATATAGCTTGAAGGTGTTAGATTATTTTTTTTAAGATTTTGTTTTATTTGCTCGTGGGTGTGTGTCTATCAACCACCTGTGTGCAAGTGCCTGCAGAAGTCAGAAGAGGATGTGGAATCCATGGAGCTGGAGTTACAAACACTTGTGAGCTGCTCTGCACAGTTACTGAGGTACAAACTCTTGTCCTTGTAAGAACAGAAAGCTGTGTCCTTAGTCACCAAGCCATCCCTCAGGCCAATCATGGGCTCTTAATATTTTATCAGACCATGGTGTCCAGGCAGCTGACCCATCTGGGATTTCAGCAAACGGTAAACTGGCCATTGTTCAGTTGGGTTCTGCAGAGGTTCAAATTGGGTTTCTGAATAACTGTATTTTACCAACAGGATCAGAAACTTTCTCTTCTTGTAAGGCTGTCCCTCCCTGCTCTCTGAATTTGAAATTTGCATAGTCTCCAAACAATGGATAAGGAAAGCCTCAGGCTTTCTCCAATTCTTTTGTTAGGAAAGATCTCCTGGTGTATTTTGGACAAACTGGACTCATTTTTATTTCCGGCAGAAGTGAAAGCAGACGGTCTAGGATTCTTGGAAACAGCCCAGATGTCAGGAAACCAGATGGGTTGGGATTTGGTTTGTGCAATTTGTTTGTACATCAGGCTGCTGGAAGTTTTCTTCAAGTTCCAGGATATGAATATTGTATGTGGAATACTTTGATGCTAGCTGCCATTTATATACCAAACTCTGTAGCATGCTTTACCTCACAGCAATGGGGATCACAGAGTTCCTGCACAGCAGAGGCAGGGCTGTCAAGTTAGGAAAACAGCTGATACAATGTGTGTGAGCCAATGGCCATTGGTGGAGCAGCAGGTGACAATTGAAATGCAAGGGGTCAGTCTACTAGGAGGAAACTCTCTGATGAGTGAATCTTTAAGCAAAGCTACAAGACTACAGACTCTTTGATGCCTTTTGTTTCTGCTGTGCCTTTACATGTTTGCTGCTACAATCTTTCTCTGGTATCTGGCATGGTATGAGTGGATGTGTGGAGATCCCCACTGCCTACAATGTAGTGTGTTTGTCACATGAGTACACCCTAATCTACTGGACACTTTATCTGTGAATTGTCAAGAATATGTTTCCTCCCTAAACTGTTCTGTCTATTTGACATAGTAATGATTGCCTTTACAGTTTGGATGGATAAAAATAAATACAAGGATATGTTTCAGATTTAAGGTGGATGAATTCCACCTAGGAACTGATTTAGACCAGAGCTCAGATTGATGATTAAGGAAAACATTTGAATCCAGGAGTCAGTCTTACTCTGTTCTTCTTAATGCTGAGAAGGTATAGCCACAGCCACAGTGACCACAGAGTCCCTGCAGAGCAGAGGCAGGACCTTCAAGTTAGAAAAACCATTGGCACAATGTGTGTGGGTGTTTACAGCACAATGCTGTGTCCACAGCACTGTGGGAGTTGTACAGGGTCGTGTGAAGACTCACTAGAATCCGGCACTGACCTAACAGTGTTTACTGCAGTGTAAAATGGAATCTTCGGAGGGTGGAAGAATAGAGGAAAACAAGAGCCCTAGGCGCTAGATAACTCAACAGCCCAAGATTGTCAAGGAGAGCATTGAAAACTTAACAATGACAAATTTATTTTAATGGTTTTTATGTGAAATAAATGGATTCAGATTATTAAAGCATGGTGTTGCAGTTTTCTTACTCTTAATTATTTCCTGATACATGTTTTATATTATTTTAATAAACTCTGGTATCAGTTACAATTTTTTAAGAGTCTCACTATGACCAGCCGCAAACTGATAAGACCTGTTCGTTTGCATCTTAAGTACTGTGAATTGAATTGTGTGCTATCACACCTGCTCCTACACATGCCTTAGAGACCTCAGGGCGTCTTTTCAGAGCTCTGCTTTGACCCATGTGATTGGCATAATTCTCTGAGTCAAAATTAGGATCATTTTGTGAAGTTTCAGAAGAACTGTACTTCTATTTAAATAAATATACTTTGATTTATAAACATTATTTTTAACTAAGTCCTCTCATTTTGAAGCCTGAATTGTTATTCCACTTACTTTAAATCATTTTAAATCTCACATTATTATTGGGTACATTTCTTCGTTTTTATTCTAAAAGGTTTCTAGAAAGTTGCCTTTGCTGGGTATTTTGTTGCGGCAACCAGGGAAGTAGCAAATACCGCAAGTTTCAGTGCTGCTGTGTGCTTCCTTTTAGAAATGAGTTGATTGATCTGCGTTGCCAATATTCTTTACAAGGAGTTGTTAGATTTCTTATTTTAAAATGTTCTTTGTTGTTCACAAATGGTTGTTGTAATTTTTATTGCAGATATTTATTATATATGCTGCTATATTATAGGAGGCTATTTTCATATAACTGTATCTTGTGTGTTTAGCATATCCCCCTGCCTCTACCCTTCTCTTCATGCCTGCTTTCCTCACTAGAACTCTTTGTTTCTTTAGATGGTTACATTTTAAACTACTTTGTCATATGATACATACATAATTTTACATATCTATATGCAGTCTATGAGTTATATATTAAAGAAAACAAACATTTTTTTTTCTGAGATTGATTTAACTTTCTTAATATGATTATCTCTGGTCACATTCACTTCTAGCAAACAGCACAAATCTGTTCTTTCCACCTAATTTTTTGAAACAGGATCTCTCAGAAAATACAGTCCATCTGTTGGCTAGACTGGCTGGCTAATAGGCCCCAGGGGTTTGTCTACCTCTGCCCCAACCACAGCGCTAGACTTACAAGTGCACACCACCATGTCACCACGTCTGATTTGCTATGTGGGTGCTGGCATCTGAATTTAGGTCCTCATGTTTGCTCTGCTCTCAATCCCATTAAAAGATGCTAACTATACCTTGCATTTTTGGCAGTTGGAACACAGTTTGTCTATACTCCATAGTACTAAGAACTCGTCAATAGATGGGAAACAATCTTTGTTCTGTTTGTGAAAAATCAACAGGATTCCAAGAGCTAATAATAGGAAAGAGTAGTGTAAGTTTATGGATAAATTGTTACAGATAAATTGTTAAAGTGCCTTTGATAGCTACAGATTACACATCATCATTTAATGTTCATTTTTAAAGTTACTGCTCTTATGTTATGCTTAAGTATCGTGTTACTATGTAATTCAAAGCCAACTCTTAAAGTTTGGAAATTTCTGTTATAGTTTCAATTTATGTGCATTGAAACACTTCCTACTTCACCCATGGATTTGTGGATTCTTCTCCTTGTCATGCCAATGACTTCTTCCATCACACACACACACACACACACACACACACACACACACACACACTCCGTGCAGAGTGTGTTGGTAGGATTATCTCCCACCACAAATCATGCCACTGCTGAAAGATTGAGCAATTTTGAAATAATGGAGAACTTTTCATTGTCTCCAGTAAGGAATGAGACTGGCCTTCAGACCCATCACCTTTCTAGGCAACTTGGAGCAAAGGTTCAGTGTCCATTTGCCTCCTGGAGATTACCTGGAAAACAAACTTTCTTCTGGGCAGTGCTGTTAGTACCTCCCTTATGATAAAGATCTCAATGGCATCCTTAGTGCAAAATCATTTATGAAGATGAACATGATTTCAATGATTAAACTGAACGTCTTTGCAGATTTTTAGTTCTTTGATGCAGGACCCAATTATTATCAACCGGAGCCACTCTTGTTCCCAGTTCTGCAGCCTATTCATCTCTATTTTGAGTGTTAGGAAATCACTGTTCTTTAGGCCTTCAGCTTATGATGCATTTGCGTGAAGCTGCCTCTTCATGGAGAGCTATTATTTCTTCCTGGAGACTTTGGCGCTCCTGCTGGAAGGTCTCCTTTAGGAGTCGGTCCTGTTCCTAAAAAAGTGAAAAGTGGAGAGAATGAGCCATCACATGAATTCATCCCCATGTTCTATGCAGGTTCTATAGTAATTAATTTTCATTATTTAATCACTTAAAATTTTCTTTACCCTGGATTTTTATTATGCTTCTTTAACTTGTTTTTAGTCATGAGTAAACTTTAATATTCAAAATTTTCTTTTTTTGGATTTTCTATTCCCTGCAAAACTATCATTTTCTTTGGGCAGCTGTTGTCACTTCTGGGCTTCCTTTAGCTAAAAACATTTCCCTTGATAACCCTAAATTATCAGTACAGTTTTTGTTTCACATTGGTTGCCTATGACTCCTGTAGGTAATCTTAATCATGTGTTTGACTTCAAATTTTAACATTATAGACTTTAGTACATCAGTCTATTCATATCTTATATAAATACACAACACAGGAATGAATTCTGAAAATCTGACTAATGCTCTGAATCATAGACTAAGGAATTTAGTCTAGAGGCTGGAGGATGACTGTCAGTAACATGCCTGCTGCACAAGCATAAGACCCGAGCTGGAATCCTGAGCACCCAAGTTAAAGCTAGACACAGCCCTGTTTTGTAATAACAGGCAGGGAAGTCAGATATAGACAGTGACCCCCATCAGTGAGCTTGAGTTACAGAGAGAGACCCCTGCCTCCAAAAATATGGTGGAGAGTGAGGGAGGAAGGATGAAAGGAGATCTCTGGCCTTCACATCCATGCCCACACATGAAGAAACACTAACACAAATACACACACACACACACACACACACACACACACACACACACATTCATACAGAGACAGAAAAGAGAGAGGAGAGAGAATGAGGACAAAAGAGAAAGAGAGAGACACAGACAGAGACAGAGAGGTAGAGTAAATTTAGTGTAAGCTTCCACAACTTGGTAACAGGGTGACAGATGATGGGTATAAAAATCAGAGCCCTAGACTGAAGATAATGAATTTCCTCATCTAACTCCCAACTGAACACACTCTAGGAGCAGAGTAGGAAAATGGAGGAACAGACAGGCTGACACATAGATATAAACTCTCTTAGATATAAACACATACCAGGTAAGATGGAATAGACATGTCATATGTATCTTATAAATAGTGTTTGTCTATCTATCTATCTATCTATCTATCTATCTATCTATCTATCTATTTATCTTTATTTATATCTGAGACAGGGTCTATTGCCCTGGTTGGTTTTGAATGTCCTATATAACTGAGGATGACTTTGACCTTTTGATTCTCCTGCCTTTACTTCCCAAAGTACTAAGTTTGTATATTTTTTAATCTTAGGTGAACCTGTGTTTCTTCCATGTAATAGGGATATAGTTTTTGGTTCAAGGAGTATTAAGAAAGAAATAAAGATAAAACATAAAGAGAATAGCTGTCATAAATAAACAGATATATTACTAAAGGACTTAGTGTGACTTCATTACACATTACTAACTTAATCACCAGACATGGGACAATTGACTCCCGAGTGGGTGTTTAGGAATAAAGATCATAAGGGAACAGGCTTGGTTAGACTTTAGGCTTCATTACATTTCATGATGAATAGAAATGGAGAGAACAGGAGGCTGGATAGAAGGCTCAGCAATAAAAAGGCCTGTAAACCGAAATTCAGTTGTAAGTCTCCAAATCAGGCAGTTCCCACCACCTATAATTGCAGCTCCTGGGGATTGGACTCCCTTTCAGCCTCTATAGATGCTATATGCACACATGCAAATAAACATACACGCACACACACAGAGAAACACACACAGTGAAATACACACATACAAACACACATACACACGTAAGATTTTTTTTTTTTTGAATGACGAGAACACAGTGGTGGTGCAATTAGCAATTAAAATACCTGAAGTTTGTGCTCAATGGCCCTCTGGTGCTCCTCCCTCATCTGGGCCTGTTCCTTCTCCATCTTCTCAGTCAGCTGTTGCATGCGTTCCTGGTAGCTCTTCTCTTTCTCTCTCATCAACTGATCGTTCTTCTGTTGCATTTCCTCCAGTATTTTTGAGGCAGTCTCTGCAGCTTCAGCTTTCACACGCTCCACTGCAAGGAAAAGCAGGAAGGATGGTGAAAATACACCACGTGCTGCTCTCTTCTCTTCACCTGCTTCCTTGTTACTGCCGACGTCATAGTACTACCAAGCCTGGTGCAAGTCAGTAAGATACAGCTTTGTTTGCTCTTTTAGCTCAGCTTTAAGGTTCCAGGTTTACAAGTAATTTAAACATTTCACAGCTGTGCAGGGCATATAACCCCTTAATTTGTGCCTCACCTTCAATCTCCTTTTCCTTTTCTGTCAGAGCCTGGTCTGTCTGTAGAATTGCCTCAATCACATCTTCCTTGGACTGCAAAAACTTCTGCAGAGCATCTTCAGCCTCCAAATTCAGAGAACATGAAGTTAACATCAGGAATCACTGCAAACTTTTGTGCCTTCCTCCTACCCACTTTCCTCTAGTGATGCCTCTTGGTACTAAAAGTTCCAGTTACAGAAACAGGCAAACAGTTCGGGCTGGACTCCACTAAAGAATATCTTTTATTGGAGGACTGTTTTAAAAAACGAAGATTGTCTTTTCAGATTGAGGGCTCGAACTTTAGAGTTAATGGTACCATGGTGAAAGATGGGAAAGTGTGCTGTCGCCCTCGCGGAGAACAAAAAGATCTGAGGGAATGAGACAAGAATGGAAGTTGGGGCTGCAGAAGACTGATGGACAGACAGACATAGGACGTTATTATCTGACACAGTTGTTGTTTAAAGCCAGTGTGAAGTCCAAACTGATGAATTACAAGTTTTGTTTAAGAGGCCATCATTGGGCCCTTTGAAACACAAAGAGTCCTGCTGAAACACAGGGTGACAGTCACACTGGTGGATAATGTGATTGTCTGGTGTGAACTCAAGTGTTGAGTGAGTGCACTCTCTCTGATGAGTAAGCAGGACACATTCAGTGTCCTTCACGTATGTGATGTTGAAGGAGCAAATGCCTGAAATGCAGACAGTAAGAGCCTCTCACAGATGCTTGGGGGATCACACTGCAGTCTGAACCAGGTCAACAGCTTCCCAGTACACACACACAACCTTGGTTACCTGCACCCCCTTTCCGGGTGTGTTATAGTACTTTTTCTTCAACTCCTGTAACTTCTGGTTAAAAAGACAATAACCCCTTGGTTTGTAATAAACTCCCTGCTTCACGTCCTCTTCTAGTGGACCAAAAATATCCTGGAGCAGAGCTGAGCAGCGGTCTGAGGATGCCTGTGCATTCTTCTTGAGAAATTCCTCTTGCTTCCTTTCTAACTTCGTCTTTAATGTAAGAATGATAAAAAAAGAAAGAAAGAAAAAAACTGAGTTTAGAATTTCTGGGATCATTTCTCAAAAGAAAAACAAACGCAGAAGAAAAAAAAAACAACCAGAGGAAAACTTCTAAGTACTGATGATAAGGACCCCCTTCCTTCCTCTGATCCAGCTTTTTACCGACATCATCTTTGTTCCTTGGCCATGGATTTCGATGCAGAGATTCACACCTTTAGAGGCAAACTACTTTTTCCAGACCGGGTGACAGATGGAACATAGAATAAACATGGTTCAATGTTAATAACTAGGGCTAACATTTTCTTTGCTATTCGCCTGAATCAGTCTGCTGACACTGGGCATGCAATTTGATCAGACACTCTAATTACTTTTCTGTATTTAATTCAGTGAGGAGAAATGTTAGAAACTTATTCATGAAAGGAGAAATGTTTTAAAATTTTGAGTCTGTGACAACCCATTTTTACTATTTATTCTATTTATTAATATCTAGCAGTTAGTACTTGAAAATCTAGTAACATTTGCACTCTTCACACACCCATTTCATTTCTTCATAGAAGTTTGACTTCCAATTCTATATCCAGGTAAACCTGAGAGAACTATTACCACTAATTCTGTTAGGAACACTTGGTTAACATCTTTGAAGGAATTTTCCATGAAGATCTTGATGGCTTCTTTCTCATTGGCCCTGTGAAGGTCCAGCAGCTCCTGGAGGTTTTCCGTGGGCAGCTGCAACTTCTGGCTCATCTGCTGGTCATAGTGGGCAATGGCCCTTTGCACTGCAGCTGCATTCTCTGTCTGGGACAAAGTCAGGACAGCATTCTCCATGCAGGGCAGACCCCCACCGCTGATAGTATTCACATAGGTTGCCACCAAACTCTTTAGTCCTACAACCAGGAAACAGGTGACAATATTTGCTACAGAAGGATGAAGGGGACACTATTCTGTGGAATTCTGGATATGTCAATCACTGGTGCCTGAAAGCATCATTGTCCTCAGCATCATTTGGAAGAATGACAGACATAAGCCTCTCAGCCTCTACTTCACCTTGATGGGATTAGACATTACTCTGTGCAAAGACCCTCTCCTGAAGTCTGAGACCCCAAAGGCTAAGAATGTCGGATGGAGATTTCAAGAGCCTGGGTCCGTGCAATGCTTGTGCCCATTTTTAAACCAGCACCACCATGAGAACAGGCTCCACACCTCTATAATATTTGTCTGTGTCACCAGTCCTGTCCATAGTAAACATTTCACTCCAATTCAGGAGCAAAATGTACTCTTCCAGTCAAAAATTCTCCATCAGGTTGATTAGAAACAAATAGCATTGCCCAAGGGAACTTTGTGTATTCGCTGATGATACTCACTAGCTCCATGCAGATATTATTGTACTTATGTATTAAGGGCCACATCTGTTTAGTTCATATAACACTGGTGGACACAGAACCAGGTTTCTGGGTAATTTAAAAAAGGCTTTTTTTTTTCTTTTGCCCCCTTTTCTTTTTATTCAACAAGAAACTGTGATACAGAAAAATCTATTATAAATGCTGGTACCATCTACAGCTTCACACTACAGTGGTGATAGGCCTACATTTCTTCAAGGTTGAAGTAGGTCATTGCTATCTCATGGTACTGTGGCCTAAGCACTGAGCAGGACTGGGAAGGGACTCACGTGGTCCATTGACCTTGATGCCTCCTGAAAGCGTCTTAACCTTGGAAGAGCTGAACACGTAGGAACAGAAATCTGCCACTTGTTCCACGAAGTCAGAGTCCAGGTCTTCATCCTGCAATGCTTCCAGCTGGCCAAGCTTTTTCCCTTGTACTGGTCGCTCAAAGACAAAGCATTTCTTCTTTGGGAAGAATTTACGGATACAGAGCCGTGGCAGATTTAACTGTTTTTCTTTTTCTTTTTGGCTGGTACCTAGATAGAGTAGAAAACAGGATTTTCAACCAGGTCCTGGAAGGTGAGTATATGTTTTAAAATTCAGTCATGTGAGCTTTTGAAATTCTGGACCACTGGAAGCCAAGGCAGGAGAATTATAAGTTGAGGTCAGCCTCCGTTACATAGTGAGACCCTGAAAATGCAAAATAACAACAACAACAAACCAAAATGGGGATTGCCTATTTTAAGAATTTACAGTCATCTAAAATGCTTTATAAAAATCTGGACTGTGTGCATAGACAACATGTAATCTCTCGAGTTCAGTGTCATTTCATTTCCAAAGATGCCTGGCAGATGAACAGTTTTGTGTAGGCCACAATTTCCCAAAGTTTGGGCTTCATTTCTGGTAACACTTTGATCTACATTTCTCAAATATATAATCATTGTGTACCATATTTTGTGTTTCATCTTAAAACAAGTCCAGGGCAGGGAGGTCAAATCAATCACTCTAAAGGGCAAGTGAAAGACAAACTTATTTCTAGAACAAAAGAGAAGATGTTTAATTCATCTATCAAATTTTATATTAAGCACTAATTCTTAAGAGTAGCCAGCTAGAAGAAAGAGGAGCACCAGGAATAAGAAAATTATAGATAGAAAAATCTGAATTTTCAGGGTTTTGAAATCCTCATTTACCAGGTATCAGCCCCTTACCCTGTATAAGCTTTAGGGAATTCTCCAGGTATTCATCTGGGGAGATGGATTCCCCATTTACTTTCAGCTCGAGAGAGAAGTCTCTCAGAGTCCACACGAAATCTGGAAAGAAGCTCACAAATTCATCTGAGTCCTCCAACTCATCCTGGTCAGATGAGGATCTTGTTCTGATTCTGTCTGTCAGCTCTGTCACATAGCTGAACAGATAATTAAGGAAAACCCATAAACAACCAGACACCAACCACAGCTCCAGGTGACCATCCTGTATTAGTTCCACATCTTCCTGGACCCTAGCCCCAAACCTTCATTTGCCTTGTTCCTAACATTGGTGTGAACACGGTAGCTACATACATATGAGTTATTTTTATCTTTTATGTTGCATTAAGGAAGATCTAGAGTCACAGAAGGTAGGGCTGCACCTCAGAAAGGATACTGCAGCTGGTCCATGGCCTGCTGGTTGATGGCTCCCATGCTATTGTACACAAAGATGCTGCTTAGAAGTACAGCCAGGGCAAAGATCCAGCAGTCGTTCTGGTTGTCACCCTGGAAGTAAGAATACATGTGGTTCAGGAGTATGTTTTGCTCTTATGTGACTCCCAGATCATCAGTGATTAAATATACTGATTTCGTGAGAGGAAACATTTGCCTAAAAAAGTGAGGGAAGCCATTGTGACCTTTGCAAGGTACAAAACAAAACAAAACAAAACAAAACAAAACCAGCAATGAACCTACAGATGCTGTCCACGGCACTCGCAGGTGAATGTTCTTTGGTTTGGGGTTTTATTTGCAATGATTCTCACTAGTCCTGCTTAGTCTGTTGCTAGTGTCTTAACACTGCAGGCTGCCACACTGCTGTTCTGTGAGCCGGTCTTGTGACTCGTTCCCTCCTCTTTGTTGACTAAACATGACTACATGTCACGTAGCCAAAAATGAACAGGATTCAATGATGAAGTTCAAACTCTGAGTGAAAAACTAGATTTCCAGTGAGAAGACTTGGTGGGAAAAAAATGCTTTCAGCCAAGTTAGAGCTGAGTTCAATGTTCCGAAGCTGCATGGTGGAAAAGAGAACTGACCCCACCTGTTGTGCAGCAGGACACACACACACACACACACACACACACACACACACACTGAGTGTAAATGGTTTAAAATGGCATAGGGAACAGGGTAACAGGGCATAATATTTAGAGATGAGGGGATAAATTGCACACTGAGCCCTCAGTCCTTACCTTCTCCACATCTCCCAGGCCCTCTGTGTCAAGCAGAACTAGGGTGCGGCCTGCCTTCTGGGGATGAGGCACACACCACATCCAGATCCCCTTGGTGTGAGACTGCACTGTGGAGCCCAGAGAGAAGCCTGGAAACAGAGAGGAATGAGGGATTAGACATGTGGAAGCAAGTGCTTCAAGATGGCGATAATAAAATTAGCATAATCGAAAAGAAAAGATGGCTGAGTGGTTAAGTGTGCCTGCAGCTCTTGTAGTGGACCAGAGTTCAGCTCTTAGCTCATAACTGCCTATAACTCCAGTTTCAGGGAAAAGCAGACAAAGTGAGTAGACTCAGGGAACCCAGCCCAGCTGTGTTGGAGGAACTTACCTGATTTCTTCCCAGCCAGTTTGTTCATCAAGTAGGACTTGCCTGTGCGGTAGAGACCCACGATGGCCACCACCACCACTGGCTTCTTGATGGCAGACAGGATCCGCAGAGCCTCCTGGTTGGCTACCAGTTGGCCTTTCACATTCTCAATGAGGCACACAGGGCCTGGCATGTGGTCCTCTGAGGCCATTGTTCAGGCTTGCCCCCTGCCTAGAGAGGGAGAGATGAGATTAACTATAATCAGTTCTTTTTGCTCAGAATTTTAATCAAATTCTTAAAAAACACAACAGTGCTGTGTACATCAGAGACACAGGTGAAAGAGAATCTGCATAATTTTTGAATCTTATAGCAAATTATTAAAGTATTTAATTTATAATGTAAGAGGGGCATTCTACTTCTTTTACAACACAAATATTTCACTTAGTTTAACACTGAAAACTTTCCTTATTAAAGACATCAAATATAAAAAGAGAATCAAATTCAGAGATGTTATTTTATATTGTAGTTGTATATAATTAACTAAATATTCAATTACTCATTTTTTATGAATCAAATTTATTTATTTTACATCTTTACTGAAGTTTTCCCTCCCTCCTCTCCTACCACTCCCCAATTCACTCTTCCATTGTTTCTGTTTAGAAAAGGGCAGGCCTCTCATGGGTATCAACAAATCATGGCATATAAAGTTGTAGCAGGACCGAGTACCTCCCCTAGTATTTAGGCTGGACAAGTCAATCCAGTATGAAGAATACCTTTCCAAAAGCCAGCCAAGGCATTAGGGACAGCCCCTATTCTCATGGGTAGGAGTTTCACAAGTAGACCGAGCCACACAACTGGCACAAGTATGTAGAGCCCCTAAGTTGGTTCTATGTAGACTCCCTGATTGTTGGTTAAGATGCTGTGAGCGTCTTTAGGCTCTGTGAGTTTTCTCATGATGTCCTTGACCCCTCTGACTGCTACAGTCTTTTCTTCCTCTCTCTAGCAATATTCCTCAAAGGTAGCGTAATGTTTGGTTGTGGGTCTCTGCAAATCTCCATCAGTTACTGGGTGAAGCCTCTCTGATGACAGTTGAGGTAGTCACCAATCTGATAACAGGATATGGCCAGTTCAGGCTACATATCATCGATTTCAAGGAGTCTTAGCTGCAGTCATCCTTGTAGACTTCTGGGGTTTTTTATACCTGATCCCAAAATGCCCCCTTCCAGTTATCTCTTTCAGTACTCTCCCACTCCATCCATCCCCCAACCTGACCCTTCATGTTCCCATCACCAACCATCCCTAGTCCACATAAGAGATCTCTTCTATTTCCTTTTCCGAATTTAGAGCCATGTGTTCCCCGCTTGGACCTTCATTATTACCTAACCTCTCTGGGTCTGTGGATTGTAGCATAGTTATCCTTTACTTTACAGCTAATATCCACTTATGAGTGAGTACATACCTTCTTTGTCTTTCTGGGTCTGGGTTACCTCACTCACGATGCTATTTTTTTTTTCCTAGTTCTATCCATTGACCTGAAAATTTCATGATGTCATTTTTTTTAACAGAGGAGTAACAGATACTCTATTGTGTAAATGTACAACATTTTCTTTATCCATTCTTCATTTAAGGGGCATCTATGTTGTTTTCAGATTCTGGATATTATGAAAAAGCTATTATGAACATAGTTGAGCAAGTATCCTTGTGGTGTGATGGAGTATCCTTTGGGTATATGGTCAAGCATGCTATAGTTGGATTTTGAGGTAGATTGACTCCAAATTTTCTGAGGAACTACCATATTGTTTTCCAAAATGGCAGTACAAGTTTGCATTCCTACCAACAGTGGAGGAGTGCTCCCTTTGCTCCACATCCTCTCCAGCATAAGCTGTCATTTGTGTTTTTGATCTTAGCCATTCTCACAGGTGTAGGATGAACTCTCTGAGTCATTTTGACTTGCATTTTGTCTGACGGTTAAGGATGTTGAGCAATTTTTTATTTCTCCTTAGGTTTTCTGAGCAGTTTCCATTTGGCAGAGAAAGGAGAAATGCAAAGAGGAGGAAGAGAAACACCGGGAATCAGACTAGGAGCTGACCAGGCAGAACAAAGCTGTCAGGAAGACTGGGATGAGAGAGAACGGTGCCTGACTGGGGTTCTGCTTTCTAGAAGACAGTAGGAGCGGGAAGGCATCAACTCTGCTCTATCACTGACCATGATCATTTAACCATGCCCAACAGCAGACAGCATGAGCACAGAGAAAGACAATCCCAGTGTGTTTCTCATTCTTGCTTAAACCACACATATTCTGATCCCTAACTTACAGCAAGTCCCATAGTGATTTCTAGAGACTGGCTGCCCTGATCATACCACCCAGGTTCACCTGCAGCTGTGCCCCAGCCACGCCCAGGAGCAGCCTTTTCTAGTCACAATAGTTCTAGAGAAAAATGAATTAGCCCTCAAAAATGCCATCTTGTTCCTGCGCAGGCTGATGAACCCTGATCATACCACCCAGGTTCACCTGCAGCTGTGCCCCAGCCACGCCCAGGAGCAGCCTTTTCTAGTCACAATAGTTCTAGAGAAAAATGAATTAGCCCTCAAAAATGCCATCTTGTTCCTGCGCAGGCTGATGAACCCATGTTCCAGAGCAGAGCTCCCTAGATCTAGCAAGAGCAAGTGCCCCTTCTTAGCCTCTCTTACTGCTCAGCACAGGTAAATGGGTTCTGTTGCTGTCTTTTATTTTCCCCCCCCAACTTGTGAGGCTTTCTGTTTTGCTCCTCAGTGTAATCACTGACTAGCTAATAAAAAATTATTATTGGTTTAAAATGATGTCCAAGCAGTCTTCTCCGGTATATATGTCATAGCATTTCTCGAGGTCACACTGAAATCCCCAGGATCCAGACCCTGAGACACTATGTGTCTCAGAGCCCCTCAGAATAGGGTCAAGGCATTCCTCAGGGGTGCCAAACCTGGGGTGTGCCAGGTCCCCAGAACTCCCTTTGGTCAATTGCTGCCTAAGGTTTCTGAGGATTCTGACACCTCCACCCCAAAAGGAAGCAATTAGAAAGTCTCCTGGCCTGTTACCTCTGGAGTGACAGTCAGGTTAAGGTGCCTTCTGTTTGTGCCCACAGGAGAGGTTGACAAAGGCTGCTGATCCAGTGTCCAGAAAGGTGTGAGACTTCACCAGATTCTCATCTGCCAATTCTTTCTCCCAGTACTGAACAATGGCTTTCTCTGGTGTGATAACCCCACCAAGGCTTAAGACCTTTGCCCCCTATGTAATTTTTGGCTTTGCCAGATCACCTAGAGAAACAAACACCCAACACCCAATCCTACTTTGGAGTTCTTGCTTGTTTCATGGCTTCACTACTGCTCAGGGTCCCCAGTTGTCCTGGTCCCCATGTCAGGGTGGGGCCGAGCCTCTCATCCAGAGCACTATGCTATCTGAGCTGAGTGCACACAGGGAAGAAGAAATATTCCCCAAGATCACTGCCTGCTCTAAGCAGCCCCACAGAAGAAAGCAGGAGGAAGCTTTCGTCTTTCGTTATTTTTGTGGTTTTTTTCAATCAATGATCCCTATAATTGGACAATTCAAAACTCACTATTCTCTGAAAATAAAGTTAAACAAACAAACAAATGAACAAATGAATGAAGGGGCCGGGTGAGCAAGAGCGTAGTTACCTGACAATGCAGCCGGGACAGAACAGATTTTCTCTTCTGTCCAACACTGAACAAATACTAGTGAACAATACTGTTCACTAGGCCCTTTTTAGAAAGATTAAAGAGAGCTGCTAAAAATATTTCCTTTGCCACCCAGTCAGCTCCAGATAGTGGAAAAAAGGTATAAATGTCAGAAAATTGTAAAGACATAAGGAGGTTCAGTTGCTGGAGGTAGCTGAAAAGGTGTTTAAGAACAGAGAACTGATTAGGACAGGACCTTTTGCCTACGCTGAAAACCACACTCTCCCTCTCTGATGATGAGATGCGGAAACCATACCAAATGAAACAAAAAGGAAAAATACAATCCTTATTTTGTGGCTTGGATGGACAGGCAGCCTGGTGCCCTGCCAGTCACCCTAGAAAACAGACCTCCTGGCTGTGAAGAGACCTGGAACTTCTGATTCTCATGAGTCTGATTCCTCCAGAGAAACAGGAATACACGGTTTTGGACCTGAAAGATGCATTCTCCAGTCTCCCACTGGCAGAGGTGAGTCAACCCATTTTTGTTTCTAAATGGACAGATCCAGAGGGAGGTTACTGCAGGCAACTTACAGGAACCCGATTGCTTCAAGGATTTAAAAATTTCTTCAATATTGTTTGATGAGACTCCAAATGCTGATCCCTGCCCTTCCATCAGAAGTTCCCCAGGAAAACAGATTATAAAAGGGCACCGAGGGAAAGCTGCAAGAGTTACAGACCTTGGTCTGCACATCGTCTGCTGAGAGCTTTATATATCAGAGGCTACCTATCTTGGTCACCAGCTTAGAGGGGCAAAGGGAGCCCGCCTCAGAGTAGGATGGCCACCCTCCTTCAGATCCCAGCTCTAAAGACTAAGTGATGGGTTCATGAGTCTAGGTGCAGCTGGTATTGTTGCCTCTGGATACTGGTGTTTGCTCTGTATGTGAGCAAAAAGGGAAAGGGTTCCCTGAATCACTAATCTGGACTGAGACTCAAGAAAAGACCTTTGGGGCCTTACAAGCAGTCCTGACTTCGGCTCCAGCCATACCACTTCCAGATGCCTCAAAACCTTTTCAGATGTCAGTCTATCAAACAAAAGATACCACAAAAGCATTTTTAACCCAAACACTGCGGCTATGGGAAAGCCCTGTGACGTACCTGTCCAAATGGTTAGCCTCTGTAGTGGCAGGATGGTCCTCCTGTAAGTGCTGTGGCAGCTCCTGTTAGTACAATAAAGAGAAGAACAATAGAAAGAAGGAAGGAAAAATGAAGGAAAGAAGTGTAAGTCAACCAATCAACCAACCAAACAAACAAACAAGCAAAGAAACAAGCTAACTCTGCATCAGGGTCATAGTCAGAAAGTACCCCACCGCTTTGTTGAAGCCCTTTTCAGAGGAACACCAAAATGCTGTCTGTCTCATGCTTGTGTGACCCAGTCACAGGTCCTACTCCTGGACCACCCTCGAGGCTGGCTTGAGAAACTCACCACCGTCAGTCCTCCTACCTTCTTGCCAGATGCGGACTTGCAGGTTCTCGTGTACG